TAAGGCTCACTTCTTGCATCAAATTTTAAATGTTTCAATGGTCTTGATTACAACGAGCAGTGCTTGCTTTTCATTGGTACCTCTCCAAGACTTAGAGCTGCATGTGAATCAGCTGTGGATTGGCTACTGCTTATGTATAACAAAACTGGACCCGGAAGATTAACTGAGGATAACTGTATTAATAAATGAGGTGAAGATGAACTGTGTTGGCAAACAAAAAGCCACGTGCAGGGAAGTAATTTCTAGTAATTTCAGCACTAGGAGCAGGATTGTACACAAAGGAAAGAAAAGAAAAATCTAAATCACTTTCACGTTTCATTTGCCTGGAGCTTCACAAAGGAAGATGCATCCTGCAGGTTTTTGCCTTGGGTCTGTACCTCCCATCAATCCTTTATCATACAGTTCCCACAGTGTGGCAGCATTAGCAACTTCACTGCTTAAACTGGGGCTGAGGGCTGATTCACATCAGAGATCTCCACAGCTGCTAAGGTTAGGATGGTAGAGGGAATATATATTCCTAATGATTAGGTCTGAAAGCATTTTATTAATGAAATCTGTGTCATTATAATTGTTCTAGAGATGAGTTAACTAAAGGAAAAAAAATGTTGTTAGGTAAAGCAGAGCCAAACTGAGGCTGTAAAGCAAGTCTCTTCAGTACCAGCCATAGTTTTGCCTAATTTCCTAAGTAATTTCCTAAGGCCTTCATGAAGCACTCTTTTGAGTAACAACATGTGACATAAAAGAGGACAGATTTGTCTACTTAGTGCTGCTTATTGCCACTCCTACAAAAAGTGACTGTGGCACTGTTATTCTGTTATCATTCATATCTTGTGCTAAAAGCAGCCATCTGCTTTTGGGCAGGGCTGTTTGTCCTACTAGTTTGAATCTGTGTTGTGAGTTTGGGTTTGGGACCTGAACTGATTACAGGAGTTTAGTCTGTGGTAGAGATCCACTGGTACAGTAGATCTAGATTTGGACAGTAGTTGTGAATGGCAGTGCTCTGATCCCTGCTGTGTGTTGCTGGATAGTCAAAAAGTGCCAAGCTAAATTTATATTTAAATGGGAGAAAAATTGAGGGCTTCTTATTCTATTTTTATCAGATACTGTTTAATGCTGGCCTGCTGAGTTGCCACATTCTTTCTGCCCACTCCCCGTAACTTCTTTGTTGAATCATTCTCTCAGAATGACCTTGCAATATCTCAGTATTGCCGTTACTGAATAGCAGTTGAAAAATTCTGCTTTATACTTCTATGCAGTAAGTCCTTCCTTCAGGCTTTGTTCTGTCTTAATTAAAGATAGAGTAAGGTCTGCCTGAGGAGTCTGGGGTGGAGACTACACTGTTCATTCTTTCCTTTTCTTTTCCAGAGCTAAAGTTCAGGATAAGATCCAGCTGATCAGTAACATGTTAGATAAGGTCAACGAGATGATCATTGGCGGTGGAATGGCATTCACCTTTCTTAAAGTGTTAAACAACATGCAGGTATGAAAGAGAATTGTGTCTGCTTCTAGTAAAGGATGACCCATATATATAGCTAGAGAGTATACCCTATAGAGAGTAGGGAGGACCCAGAAATTGCTCAACAGCCTGTTTGCAAAAATTGCCTTGCTGTGTATGTCTTAGTGCTCTAATAGAGCTCTCCAGAATTGCTGTCTGAATGGTATGGCTGCTGTTCATCTCATAGATAATGTCCAGTAACTTAACAGATGCTTCTTTTATTTTTTTCCACATAATTATTTTGTAGATTGGCAACTCTCTGTTTGATGAAGAGGGATCAAAAATTGTCAAGGACCTGATGGCCAAGGCGGAGAAGAACGGTGTGAAGATTACCTTGCCAGTGGACTTCATCACTGCAGACAAATTCGATGAGCATGCACAGACTGGGGAAGCCACTGTGGCTTCAGGCATTCCTGCTGGCTGGATGGTAGGTGTTAATAGATGAGGGACTAGAAATAGTAACAGGAAGCACTGAGGTGAGAAAAACACTTCTTGTAGGAATTATAAGAGTAACTGTGATCCTTTGCAAATGTTTCTGAAGGGCAGTCTAACTGCATGAAATACTTTTGTTTCATAAAATGAAAACCATGTGGTTTCTCCTGATACAATTTTAAGTCTTAAAGTAGCTTTTGTGGGATTTGGATTAAAACGACAACATTCCTCTAAATCTTTGAGTTCTAAATGGAGTGTAAGTCCCTTTTATTTGACTGGAACTTAATTAGAGTTTGCAAAAGTTTCTAAGTAAGGCTTCATGCATCTGACATTGATATTTTGTTATTATTTTTTTTTAATGACTTATTTGTACTCAGAATATAAATACCACACCAGATTCCACCCCACAGAAGTAACTTCTGGCAGATCTCTATTCCTTGGTATTCAGTGCTGAGAGAAACTCTTGCTTTGTGATTAGTCTGCAGTATCTGAACTGGCAGCAAACTTGGGGGCACAAAATCAGCACCATCAGGCCTTCCAAGAGCCTTGTTAACTTCAGTGTCAAATGAAAGAGGAGGGGGGAAAAAAGCAGTTGAGGATCCCATCAGTAAGGCATTGGTGATTCTAGGTAAGATGCTAGAAAGCTTCTCTCTGAATTCTCTTACTTGTCGTAGGGCTTGGACTGTGGCCATGAAAGTGTTAAGAAGTTTGTTGAAGTTGTAGGAAGAGCCAAGCAAATAGTGTGGAATGGTCCAGTTGGAGTCTTTGAATGGGACAAGTTCTCCAAAGGAACCAAAGCCTTGATGGACAAAGTAGTGGAAGTAACTGGAAAGGGCTGCATCACCATTATTGGTAAGTAGTTGCACATGATTGTTCTTGTCTTTATAAAAGCAGTAAGTTTCTGCCTGCTAAGCACCACATTAACAATAGTTCGCAAATTGTTTTATGGCAATGCTTTCATCTCCCCCTCAGCTTGCAGATATGACTTTAAAAACTGCTGTATGAACTAATGTTGAGGATTTGGGAGCACCACCAGCCTGTAGCAAGGCTATGTCCCTTAAGCTGAACAAACTGAATTTCTTGCCTTGCTCATTTTTAATTTTTCTTGTACTACAGGTGGTGGAGATACTGCTACATGCTGTGCAAAGTGGAACACTGAAGATAAAGTTAGCCATGTCAGCACTGGAGGTGGTGCCAGCCTGGAACTGCTAGAGGGTAACTGTTTTTTTCTTTTGACTTGCTTGAGCAAATTAGGTAATTCTGGGTGCTATGCCTTGTGTTGATATTCAGGAAGGCACAACAACAGAATAACTGTCGTCTTGTTTCAACAAATGGAGTTGCATATAAGATCCTCCTAGCTCTTTTTTTGTCCCCTAGAGGAAGAGAAAAGAAAATGGAATATTCCTGCAAAGAGCATAGACTGTCACTCCCACGCAGCAATAAAAGCTGTAAAAGAAAGTAGTACAGCTCTCAGAGCAGCTCCTGGCTTATCGATGATTCCCTGAAACATGCTAAGCAGACTGTTTGCAATGCTCAGTTTGAGTTAGGGATCAGAATAACTTCAAATTTTGGTTAGAAGCTTCCTTTTGAGGGCATCGTTGGAAATCCCCTGGTTTGGGGAGCCCTCTAGCGATCACTTAACAAACCTGCACAAGAGTACTGACAATCCAAAATGGTGAGGATTAGAGCTCTTCCAGTGAGTTACATTGTTCTCTAAATGGGTTTTCATTTCCTCTGGTAATTATCTGTTTCCCAGTATGTGTAAAGTATCTAATACTGTCAGCGTCTCTGTAGAAGAGAAACTGTAACAAACTGCATTGCAGCTGTTGGTTTCCAGCAGTTGTATGTGAGACAGAGCTTTTGTTTCTGTTGCCTAGGGAGTGGTGGTAGAGGGAAAGAATGCAGATGGCTAGAAGGAAGCACTGTGCAACTGATTTATTCAAAAGGACAAAATCGTCTAAGTTTTGGCCCAAAATGTGGGCTTGTGTGTGATCTTTTAAATGTAACGGAAGTCTAGCTAACTAGAGGATCTTCTGAAGAATCTATATATTAAAAAAAAAAAAAAAGGCTACTAAAACAACTAGTGGGCTGTGAACAGTGTTAAAATTCAGTACTGTTGTACAGCTCAAGCATTCAAAAGTAGTGGGGTTTTTTTGGGGGGTAGGGTGGTAAGAAAATATCCTTCTTTGATAATGAAGAACAACAAAGAGCTAAGAAAATGCCTCAGAGAACATTGCACTTCAGTAATTTGGGGACCCATACCCAAAGATGAGCGTGTTCCTTACTCTTGCCCTTTGCAATGATGTATCTAATTATCAGGACACAGATGTTTTAGTCACAGTAGAAGACTCAAGTCTTGGAGAAGGTAGTGTTTATTTTTCTTAATTCACTCATTAAATTTCCACCACACACTCCAAAATCCTATGTACATGCTGCTGGGGATTAAAGGAAATATGCAACAACTTCCCAGATCCTATCAAAAATCTGTTTGCCATCAAATTTAATGGAAGAATATCTGAAAGTATTTGGATCTGCCCCTAGCAGGAACTTGGACAGAAACAACTGTTATCATTAACTGAACACTGATGATTGTTGGCTGCTAAGAATCTGTCTGCAGATATGCTCTGGATACTTACTAGAACCCTAAAATGTATTTACTGTGTGGAACAGTTTAATCCATATGTGGTGATTGCCACAAACAGCAGCAGGAATGCATGTAGAAACAATGTGACCTATAGTTTGAGGTGTTTTGGGGGGGATTTTGTTTCTGGTTTTTGAATATGTGTAAACATTGCAGTTGTAAGCATAAAGCCAAGTACTTCTCTTTCTGAACTTTATTGGAATTCTTCAACTACTCACAGGTAAAGTTCTTCCTGGCGTGGATGCCTTGAGCAACGTGTAGAGAACAGCTTATCACCCCAGTTCCTGTTACTGTGCACAGCCCCTGAGATTCAACACTTCTATGCTTCTGTATTTCAACTCTGCCATAGACAGATCACAGAATGTAAACCGAAACTGGACAGGATTTGAGAAGACAACAGATATCTTATGGCTGCAGTTTACATGATCTGGATTTGTTCACTCTTATCCCACTTGAATTACTGTAGTGCGTTTAAACTGTTGTTGTGGATTTAGAGTGTATATATTTATATTTTGCCTTCTCAGAGAGATTAATCCCTGTTAGACATGTCTGTTTCTCAGAAAGGAGTGCACCATGTAGCTTCTTCGATGTTCCTAGCAGGCATTTCTGTCACTTGACACGGTTCAGAAACAAAAGGGGACTCCAATTTTTTGGAGGCAGACTGTTATAGCTGCTGAATAAACATATTTAAAATGCTGACAGCTGGTATGTAGTCTTTCTTTCAGATTTTATGTTAAAAATACCATTATTGTACAACAGGAGTCAGATCTTTCTCCTTGCACTAAATATAATGTTAGTAAATTATTTATTCTACCCCATGGATCTGTAAGCATCCAGTCATCATGAATGTGAACTTTGTTGGTGAGGAAGTTATTAAACATCTACTGTTACATCAAAGCTTTCATGTCATCAAGTAAGAGAGAAGATGAAATTTTAAATAGCAGGAGTAGTAAAAAATGGGCAAATCTTAAAATGTGGTTCTTGTAGAGAGAAATGGCTGCATAGTAGACAGCTGATGTCTCTAACCTAAATATTTTGGAACGTTTGAAGACAGGTAAGAACTCAAGATTTTTACCTTCCCCCTTACGTATGCAAACAGAACAGCAATACTCTTGTTGATGTAAAGTCAACCACTAAAAGTGGTAAAAAAAGCATAGTAAAATACAGTTTGAATAATCAGGCTTGTGTTTACAGATGAAGCATGCTGCAGAACTACAAGCATTGTCAGTGGAGGAGCACCAACATGGTGCAAATGTATAAAGTTGGGATTCTGATCTTGGCTGTTCTAGGTTGGCTCCTGTGCTTGCTACAGGGTTAGGGTTAGCATGAGGTGGCCCTGAATGAAACCTAGCAATATACCAAAATCAGACTGGCTACAAACACTCCAAAGTGTTTTGGATTCAGTCAGCAGTCATAAGGCCAAGTGCAGGGTGCTGCACTTGGGTCTGAGCAATTACAGGTCTTTATACAAACTGGGCGAAGATCTCCTTGAGAGCAGCCCTGTGGAGAAGGACTTGTGGAGGGCCTGATAGATGAGAAGCTGGACACAAGCCAGCAGTGTGCATGTGCAGCCCAGAAGGCCAACTGTATTCTGGGCTGCGTTGGAAAAGGGGTGGCCAGCAGGGAAGGGGAGGTGATTGTCCCTGCTCAGCTCTTGTGAGACCCCACCTGGTGTACTGCATACAGGAAGGATGTGGAGTTCTTGGATCGGGTCCAGAAGATGGCCACTAATGATCAGAGGGCTGGAGCACCTCTCCTATGAGGAAAGGTTGAGGGAATTGGGATTGTTTAGCTTGGAGAAGAAAAGGTTCCAGTGAGACCTCATTATGGCCTTCCAGTACTTGAAAGGAGCACATAAACAGGAGGGGGAATATCTGCTTACAAGGTGGATAGTGACAGAACAAGGGGGAATGGTTTTGAACTAAGACAGGGGAGATTTAGGTTAAATATTAGAAGTAAGTTTTCCACACAGAGGGTGATGACACACTGGAACAGGTTGCCCAAGGAGATTCTGGATGCCCCATCTCTGAAGGCATTCAAGGCCAGGCTGGATGTGGCTCTGGGCAGCCTGGTCTGCTGGTTGGTGACCCTGTACTTAGTAGGGGGTTGAAACTGGATGAGCACTGTGGTCCTTTTCAACCCAGGCTGTTCTATAATCCTATGAACTACAAGAATGCAGTGCTTCAAATGAGCTGCCTGTGTATCTTCCTCCTGGATCACCGAACAGAAACGTGTAAAGCAGTGATTGTCTGCTCCTACACCTAGTGGCTTCCCTGCAGTATCGCACTGCCATCCTGGGTGTTAGGTGTGGCCTGAGCTGAACAAAGCATCCAGGATGAGCTGTGGAGAGAATCTTTGAGGTAAGCAGTAAGCTGCAATACAGAGTATGCTTTCAAGTTAAAGTAAATATGTATACAATACTACCAAGACAAAATGGAGGTATGTGTTATAAACAGACATGGTCTATTTGCCAAATGTTACTTGGTCACCACAGGATGCAAATTAAAACCCAATTGAGCTAAAGCACAAAGTTCTATATGAAAATTACACTTAATGCATTTTAATCCTAAAAGTGACACTTGCAAAGCAACTAGAAATAATGTAAATGATTGCAGCATTGTGAGTTTTCTCTGCCTCCTCCCTCCTTTGTAAATCTCCCAAGCATTTGTCTGATTACGCATGAATGATGCAGATTTTTGCTAGGATTGCTTTCTAGCTGCTGCTCATGTTTTCCAGGCAGGGGTGCAGACCTCCGACAGCTGCAGTAACGAGGCAAAGAAAAGAGTGAGCTTGTCAGCCACAAAAAGACTATGGATTTTGGAAATCCAGTACTACAATAACAAATATTCCACCATGTTTTGTAACGGTCCATTCTTGTCTGACTCTGGCAAACAAGGCCTTGTTAGAGCACGGCTCATTTTAGTCTCACTCTTGGAACCCTGTGTTGCTGACTCCCCATGGAGCAAAAACAAGACTTACCCTCAATATCTCCTTTGGTATTCACAGTGAAAGGTCAATGTGTGGTCGCTACCTCCTCTTTTTTCTTCCTCCTCTTCATCAAAAGCAAGCATCTGTAATCAAATATGGCAAGGAGTTGTAATGTGCCATGAACACAAATGCATGCACTTAAAAATATTTTTGCACTGACTTTGGATGCTTGCTACTCATATCTTAGAATGTTTTGTTTGTTTGTTTCCATGTCTTATTCTAATTACTACCACTCTCAGGTCCATGTGTCAGAACAAACCAACAGCAAAACTAGATAGATGCTTAGTTTTTCAGATGTCAAAGCAAAGGGGATGAAACGTCCTTGCACAAGACTGCAGGAGCTGTGCACTTGACCAGCAGCTGATTAACAACAATTTCCAGATATTTAACCTTTGCCTGTAGCATTTTTTAGTAATTAACTATTGCAGTGGTAAAACGTTTTCGAGGTATCCAGAAGTGCTTCCATTACTCTGTTTTTCATCCTCTTGAATCACACTGTTCTCTCTAGATTATTTTTGTTTGCATACCTAACTCATACAGAAACAGTGTACTCAGCAGAACCAGGAAGGTGCTTGTCCTGACTCAGCCCTCCCTTGAGTAATGTCCTCAGTTTTGGGCCCCACAATACAACAGAGGCCTCAAAGCCTCTGGAGCACAAGTCTTACGGAGACTGGTTGAGGGAACTTGGATTGTTCAATCTGGAGAAGGCTCAGGACAGACCTTATCACTCTCTAGAATTACCCCAAAGGAGGTGTGGTGGGGTGGAGGTTGCCCTCTTCTCCCAGGTAATAGCAATAGGACAAGAGGGAATGGGCTTTAAGTTGTGCCAGGGGAGGTTCAGGTTGGATATTACAATAAACAGCTTCTCAGAAAGAGCAGTGATGCATTGAACAGGCTGCCCAGGGAGGTGGTTGAGTCAGTGTCCCTGAAGGTGTTCAAGAAACGTGTAGATGTGGTACTGAGGGACACAGTAGCGGCCAGTATTAGTGGTAGGTAGATGGTTGGACTGGATGATCTCAGAGGTCTTTTCCAAACATAATGGTTCTATGATCTGAGACAATTTTTCTAGATACGCATCTCCAACAGTTGTGCTTTTAGGTGTCCAGTACTTTTGAGAATGGTTTTGGGGTAACGCTGCTGAGTAGAAACAGAAAGAGGTTATAAGATAAAGTGGTTGCAGAAAGCTTGCAACGTGATAAAGGTAGTATATTTAGCATATACACTGACTGATAATAAATGTAATAATAAGGCAAAAAATGCGAAGAACTCATGGCTGAGATCATCAAATGTCAAGGTGAAATACTAAATTTGCAGTTGGCAGTAAAATAATAATAAGCACAAAAACATGTGCTTTCTTATTGATTTCTCTATGTATCATGTAAAATCTGCTGTAAATAGCAGGAGGTAGAGAAAGTGTTTCTGTGTAGAAAAAAAAAGTGTAATTGATAGCATTTGCCAGTAATGAAACCTAGGGTCATAGCACTGGTGACTCGAGGTATCAGGAGGGGACGTCAGCCTTCATTTGGCAGAGCGGGGCAGAAGCTCTGTAATGGCTGGAGGCCTGGCTGGCCAGAGGTCAGCTGTAGAAAAGGTACCCTTATAACCACACAACCATCAAAACTTGAGCCTTTCCAACAAGGATATGAAGCTGAGAGGAGTGTCTGACACACTAGAAGGCTATGCTGACATTCAGCAAGATCTGGACTGGGCACAGAGGATCAAGGGCAAGCCCAGAGTCCTACAGCTGAGGAGGAGTAACTGCATGCATCAGTACAGGTTATAGAGGCTGATCTGCTGCAAAGGAGCTCTGCAGAGAAGGATATGGGTGTGCTGGCGGATAACAGGGTGGCCATGGGCCAGCAGTGTGGCCTGGTGGCCAAGAATGCCAATGATATCCTGGGTGTATTGAAAAGAGCATGGCCAGGAGGACGTGGGAAGCATTTTCTCCCAATGCTCTGCCTTGGTAAGGCCACATCTGGAGCACCGTGTCCAGTTCATAAAAGGCAAAGATCATTGAGTGAGTCCAGCGGAGAGCCACAAAGATGAAGAGAGGCCTGGAGCATCTCCTTTACGAGGAAAGGCTGAGAGACCTGGAGCTGTTCAGGTAAGAGAATGGTGAGAGGGGATCTCACCGCTGTTTATGAAGATCTCAGGTGAGGGAATCAAGTCAATGGGAGCACACCATCACTGCGGGGAGCCTGCTCTAGCAGGGGGTTGGACCCGATGGTGCCCCGAGGTCCCTTCCAACCCTTGCAGTTCTGTGACTCTGTGAGGGGCCTCCAGTGGGGCAGCAGCCATTTTGTGAGCCCGGCCACCCCACTCACCTTGGAGGTACGGGTGAGCCCTGGGTCCTTTTGTTCTCCCTGCGCGCTCTCCTTGGCGTTCCTCACCGCGTTATCTGCGGTAACGACGGGCCCCTTCGGCGTTTTGAGGAGGACTTCTCAGCTTTTAGCCCCGCCAAGTCCCGCGCAGACCAGCCGTCCCTTCGCTCGCCGAAAAGCCGCAGCCCGAAGGCGTCCAGCAGACATCGCTGTGCCGGCCGGGTGCCCGCAGCGCCGAGGCGGGGCGGACGGACTACGCCTCCCGGCAGCCACTGCAGGGCCCGGCCCAGCGGGGGATGTCGGGCGCCGCCGCCGCCGCCCGGTGAAAGTTAACCACCCGACCTGGGGAAGGCGCCTCCCAGAGCCGCGCGGCGCCTCCCGTTGCCATGCCGGCTTTGTCGCCTCGGCGGGGAAAGCGGCAGGATGGATGAGCGGGCGGCCGCCGGGGCAGGCGCCCGCCGGGTAAGGAGCGGGAAGGGAGAGAGCGAAGGGAGGCGCGGGCCGCCGCGGTGAGGCCGGTTCTCCGCGCCTCGGAGGGGCCGCGGCCGCCCCGCCCGCTGGGATGCCGGGCTCGGGCAGGTGCGGAGGAGCGGCGCGGGGCTCCACAGGCAGAAGGGCCGCTGGGGGGAGAGAGAGGGGAACGCGGCGCCGGCTCCCGCCTCCCGGCCGCGGCCCTCCCTCAGGGGCTGCCCGCCGCCCCGCGCCCGGCCTGAGGGCACGGCTGCCGCTCCGCCCCGCCTCGGGCCCCGCGGGCTGCCGCGGCTCTCCGCTGTCCCGGGGAGGGAGGCGAGACTGGGCTCAGCCCGACCTTGCGAGTCCCGAGGAAGACTCCTGGGAAAGCTTTGAGGAGCGGAGAAGGCTATGAGGGTTTGCTGTGAGTACCTGCTTTGGGATCAGAGGGGTGCGTGTGTGTGTGTGTGTGAAGGGGAGAACAGAGCTGTCCTGGTCCTTCCCATGTCTGTTTTCTGTAGTGCCAGGGGACGCTTTGCTCCTGCAGTCCCATAGAGGAGCCCTGGGGCCCCAATGCCTCCTGGCCCACCTCTCCCATTCCTGCTGGTCCACAGCACCTGCTGGTCTGCCTCTGCCTGAATTCCAAATTAAGCAGAAAGGACTCAAAACCCTCCGACTTTGGCCCCGAGAGAAGAAAACATCAGTCTGTGGCTGATGATCCCAGAAGTGTTGGAAGCTGTGTATCTGCATCCCTGCTCCTTAGAGATGCAAGGCTCCAGCAGCCCCCTGAAGTCTGGGTTCAGCCATCCCTGTGCTGCCTCAGGTAGAAAGATTGGGCCTTTATAGGCAGGCTGCTTAAGGTAGGCGTATAAATATCCTCAGTGAGACTCGCCATATGGTGGGAGCAGAGCCACAAGTCCCATCTGTGCTAATTCCAAAATATCTTTTTGAGAGAGTGGAAGGCCGGAAGGCTGAATCTGTAGTCATGCAGGAACCTGGCAGCTGTTGCTTTTGCTTGATGTTGTAGGTAGCCAGAATCCAGTGGAGCCACCAGTGGGTGCCAGGATACCCAGTGTTTCCATGGCACAGGTGCCTGGGGGCTGTTTTCACATCTGGTCCCAGGCTCTGGCCCTTGGCGTCCTTGCTTGGAGTCCTCCACCATGAGGAGCATAAAGAAGATGCCCATTTGATTTTGAGGTTAAAAGTTTCTGTGTCACCTCTAATAAATGATCCTCTGCTCATCCCTAATGCAATAGAAAATAGAAAATTCTATTTTAATTCAGTCCTCATTCTTATTCCACGTTTTAATAATAGTTTTTCATTAAACATCTAATCCTGTCCTAGCACCTCTAATCAGTAAGGCCCAAGGTGCTTTACAAAAGAGGTAAAGGAAAAAAAAAGTAACTATTCCAATTATCCTCGTTAAGGCTGATATCTTTTGGCTTTGGGCAGCAGATAATATAGGTCATAAATAATTAATAATACAATCTAATTAAAAGAAATCCCAGTTGTAAACCAGAGGGCCACACTGAAGAAGCCAGTCTTCAAAGGCATGGCCTTGTAACCTAACCTCTCTGATCAGAGCAGAGTCCCATTAGCCTGCAGCTCTTTGCCCTCCTGACCTGTGTGCCCCAGCAGCAGGTACTGCCAGGTGCCTGTGCAGGACCCCAGAGAGGGAGAGGGTCAGGGTGTCTGTGACAAAAAGCATTCTGGTTTGAATAAGTCTAATGTTTAGAGAGCTACTGAAACCCGCAGTCTGAACTGAGTAAAGTTGGAGGTGGAACTAATGTAGTTTTTTTAGCACAAGAGAAATAATTACTGGAAATCAGAAATGCTGCTCAAACTGGAGTCCAGAAGATAGTTAAAGAAAGTGGTGTCCTGAATCAAGTTCATACATGACCTAAATAGAATTATGACCCGAAACTCACTCTGAATGCTATCTTCATTAAAGTTGGATGTGAACTTTCATGTCTGGGAGTTTAGGCTCTAGATTGCTTGTACTAAACTGGATCTCTGTGTTTTACCTGCATGCCTCCTCTGGAAGCTGACTATCTCAAGTCTGCTCTTTATCTGTATAATTCAACAGTAGGACTGTGTGGATGAAATTCCTGTTCTCATTCCTAGAACCTGCTGTCACATATATTAATTATTCTGTGGCAATATTTGTGCTCTGATTCCTGGTTACACAGCATTCAGTGATGACCTAATTGCAATGTTCTCATTAGCAGAGAAATTTCTGAGTTTGACTTTCTAGTTCACCTTGTCTGTAAGTCATAATACATTTTGCCATCAGTACTGTCACTTTAGTCTGTTTTGTGGGGCATCGTAAGACATTTGAAATACATCTGTAACAGCTTCTCACACTATCCTGTTGTAACATGTGACTTAATTCAGAGAGAGAGCAGACTGTCTTGTAGGTGAAAATGGCAGAATCTGAAGAGCTGTATCAGCTTTCCTACCACTAAAGAAACCACACCTGTGTTAGTTTGGTGTTGGGTAATTTCCTTGAAAGCTGGGAATACACAAGCAGCTACGAACAAACCTAAAGCTGCCAGACTCCTTTTAGATTGCCTCGTACAGAGGTTTAGTCTCAGCCAGGAGATGTAGGTGTAATTTTCAAACTCAAAGGGGTGCTGACTGCAAGTTACATTAACTGAGTCCCCTAGGGCTTAGGAGAGGTCTGATTTTGATCTATCTGTGCCGTAACTTCTTCGTTTGTCAAACCCAAATGTTTTGTGTTAAACTGTAATTGTTTCATATGCATGGAGCTCAGAATAGTAAGGGATGGCTGGAGCTCTGGGAAGCACTGGCGACACTGAACATGCACTGCACGTGGCAAGAGGGCACCCACAGCAGTAAGGCAGTGGGGCATGCGAGCACTGGGAGCTGCAGAGAGGGAGGATGAGAGCAGGAGAAAGGGGGAAGGGTCAAAGGAAGAAAAAGTATAACATTAGAAACAGTGTATGGGGCAGATGGCCGACAGAAAGCCTTGGAAGAGCAGGTCTGGAAGGATGTAGGAAGAAAACTAAACCAGCGCAGTTGTGGATGCCAATTGCAGTGCTGCGTGGACAAGGCTTTGCCTTTGCATGTGATAACATTCTTAGAAAAACTTGATGCCACTTATGGGAGAAGCAAGGGGAGAGGATTCCTGGAAAAGTATATATACACACAAAGAAGCCTTTGGTTTCTTCTCTTGCACATTTGTAGAGAGCTCACGTCTTTCTCTTACCCCAGGAGACATTCCTATTTCCTTTCATTTACCAGTGTTTGGAAGGCGGAAGGAGATGAGGCACTGTTGGATTCCCTTATTAACTTAATCTGTGGGAAGCCCCACTTAAATCATTGAATTTCCCAGTCTTGATAGAACGAAGTATTTGTACAGTGAAGTCAAACAGAAGATGGAGGTTCCTGCACAGGGAGGCTTTGACGCTGTTCCAGTCCTGTGCCTGTGACTCTTACGCGTGCATTTCTTTGAAGTCTGAAGCTTAGGAGTCTGCATTAATGATCAAGGGACAGAGCTGAATACAGAATTTGAATGTTACAAAGCAAAGGTGTGGATATGAATGTGGAAAGAGAATGTTTAAGAGTAGTCTGGCTGTATGGTTAATATTAAAAAAGAAAAAAAAAAAAGCATGTTAATTTCCTACAGTTACTCAAGTTCTTGGGGCTTTTAGCATCTTCTCATTTAATGTAGATCAATGGTCTCCTGCTCAGTCCTGTCATATTCAAAATACTAACTTAACAGGTAGAAAACTTGAGGTCTGAAACCTTTAGCCATTTTGCACGATGGGAAACTTGCTCTGACGCCTTAGGCAGGAATCTGTTCCTCACACAGTGTTTTAGAATGTTCTGCTTGGCATTTGGCTGCTGCTGCTGGCCCTGCTCTGCCAGGTGATCCCTAAACGCTTTCAAAGTTCCTTAGGACTCTCAGTGGATGCAAAGCACTTCTGAAGCTCAGATTTGTCAGGAACAGAATGCATTAGAACAATTATTTCTGACTTTGACTTGCAATTGTGTTAAAATTACCTACTTTCCCACCTTGTTTGTTCTTTTTAGGGCTCTCAGCTGTTGCTCTAATTTGAGAACCCTTTTTCTTACTTTTTATTTCAAAAAGTAAAATAGTCAAAGGAAAATGCAGCACATCTTGCTGAACTTGGTAGATAGATATCTGTTGCCTCAAACAGTGAAATAGAACCTTAGTTTCAATTTCCAGCATACTATTTCAACTGCTTTTCCCAGAACTCCGCCAGCAAATCGACTCCCCTGTAAGAATTACTTGAATTCTGCTTTGTTGGGGACCCAAAGGATGGACTTTGAGGCTCAATTTTCAATACTCTTCTGATCTGTAGGGACCTCAATAAGAGATCCTAATGTTACCACATTAATGTCCTACGCGAGACGGAGCTGCTCCTGAAGCCCTGGCACCAGAAGGTTGGCGTGCTTGCTCTGAGTGTCTCCCAAGCGGTGGATGGCTGCAGACGTACCATGGGTACTCGCTGATGCCTCTTGTGCTCCTCCATCACTCACTGGGCTCTGGATAGGCTTGTGCCCCAGGCTCTGCTCTGAGTGACTGAGACCTCTTTCTCCAGATCAGATTTCCCTATTTAATACCGTAATGTAAATGAGTATTTGTAGAGGAGTGTGGGGTCTGTGGATCAGCTATGTCATACAAAGCTCTGACCCAAAGCCCACCGTAGCCCAGCAGAAAACTATCTCTGACGTTGCTTTAGTGTCCCCAGGAGTTAAAAAGACAAATTACTGTAAGCAGTTCCACATGTACTGTGGAACTGTAGTTTGTTAGTTTGAGTATAATGTCTTTCCACAAAACTGAAGAACAAAAAGCTACCTTGAAAAAAATAGCCATCGGGAAGCAGGGCAGCAAAAGCCAAGAAACTTGAGCCCTTTGCTAATGAATACTCTGTCCTTAACTCACATTGTCTCTTTTGTTTCCCACACTTTCATGAGCTGCACATGGATTCAATTTGCCAGTCTTAACCCTTCTTGCTGATGCCTGATCTGTACATAGTTTGGAAACTGGGACAGCTGTCACTTAGGTACTTGGCTTTGCTTTTATTATTTTGTTTTGCTGTCAACGTGTTTGCCCCGTGCAGTCTCTGGCATGGATGCAGAGAGGGAGCCCACAAGGTGCAGGTAACGTGTGGATGTGTGTGGGGAGAGGGAGAGAAGTCTTCCTGGGGAGGGGTGTAACAAGGATGGGCTCAGAGCAGGTTTGCTTGGGTTGAAGCGTGGTAGCTTCAGGGGAAGATGCCGGTGCTGCACTGGGCTTCTTTAAGAAGAGCTGTTTTTCTTGGCATAGCTCTGAAATTGATGGAAAGTCAGGAAGGAGCCAAGGAAGGAATCTGGCATCCTGGGAACTTCTCACACCAGCTTGTCTTTGTGCTGCAGCTCAGCAAAGTGCTTTCTGCAAAGCGAAGCATTAAACATCAGATGTTTATTTGCAACAGTGAAATTTATTCCAGCAAACGATGATTGACTGTAGTAAATACACTTCTTAGTAATGACTGTATTGTTTCCAGAAACATAACTAGCTCTTAGTTGCTGTTTGCTCAGTTGGTAGGGATCTAATTAATCATCCTCTTACTGCAAAAATGGCATTTCACATTAAAAAACAATGCATTTTCTTGCCTCATTTCTCCTCTAGATAACTATTGAACAAAGATGACCAGCAGAGAGTGCTGGTGCTCTTCCAGAATCCTGCAGAAGCTCCTGAAATGGTGTAAAATCAAATCAGATTTTGTTCTGTAATTCTATTTTTAGTTTTTTTTAACATAAAATGCTAATGAACTATCTGTTACTTGATATCTTGCTGCCGCCTCTAATTATGAATCTTTCTGTAGCTCACTAAAGGAGAAAGACTGCTTTCAGAAGAGCACTATACGCAGAGAAACTGTAATTGCCACTTTTTGAAGCAATTATTTAATAGAATTTTGTTTTGCTCTAATGCATTGGCTCTTTTTTATACACAGTATTTTCTCTCCTTTTATTCCTCCTCTTTATTTTTCATTGAAAGTAATCTGTTTTCTGTTCAGCACAGCTTCTGCTAGTGGAAGAAGGTAGCCCCGTTCCTGCAGACAGCAGAACTCTAGCATCTTTTAGGTGCTCATTGTATCACTCAGACCAATTTTAGGACCTCCCAAGGCAACGAGAGATTTCTCCCAGCCAAATGTTACTTTTAGTTGGGCCTCTTCCACGTCTCAGTCTGATTCTGATGGCAGTATCAAAAATGAATTGCAAAACTTGAAATCAAAAAGGGTTGCTGCCTCCCTCCCTTGTTTCTGTGGGAGACACAAGATATATATTGATAATTGTTGGCACCATTATTAGTCCTGGAGATGTGAAAGTGGTTAGGATTTTTGGTGTTAAATCAGGCATGTTTTTCCCCTCCTAATCATTTTGGCCATATCAGGATTATTAAATGTTTTTGTGCAGAACCTGCTGTACATCTCTCTCTCCTGTGACTTCATACATTCTTTAGCCATCAAGAGCAAACAAAGACTGTGTAGAAGTTTGGGGCCTCTTTGCCTGATTCATGCATGGCACTCGGATCCAAATCCTTTGGAAGTTTAGGGAATTTCTTAATTCATTCATCAGAATTTAAGGAGAGATCTCTTTAGAAAATCATAATAAAAAAAAGCCTTAAGAGACAAGGGAGATGGTCAGCTTTCATACATCAAGGATCTTACCATGTGATAGACATTAAAGGCTTCCAGGCTGTACTGCAGGAGAATAAGGATCATGTAAGGAAATCTCTTTGTCCAGACTGATATTGAAGCCCTTATTTTGTCAAGCTGATACAGTGTAGAGGACTGGGCTGCGAATGCAGGTAGAGCAAAGCTGAACACTTTGTTTGTTTCTGATGTAGCTAGCTGATGTTCAGCGTTCTTCCGGTTACACACCTGCTTCCAAAATGCTCCATGAAAAGAGGCCAAGTTTCACCAGATAGAGGAATTCTTCCCTGGAGTTCCTCAAAAGCCACTTGGACACAACCCTGGGCTATGTGCCAGGGGATCCTTCTTGAGTAGGGGGTTGGGATGGGTAATCTCCAGAGATGCCTTCTTGCCTCGACTGTTCTATGATTCTGTAATTAAGAGCTTAGAGGGAAGGGCAGAGGAGCATGTAGTAACTCTTCCTGTTCTTGTGTTTTGAAAAGTAGAGTTTTTCTGGCATTTCCATAAACTTTGTCTTACAATGGTTGATTCTGGTGGTGGTGCATGAATGCTTATCTGTCGTTGCCCCCTGACAGTGAATGAGAACTGGCTTTGCACCTAATGCAAACATGAATTTAATGTAGGGCCATTATTTCACTCAACAGTGAATTTGCAGATTGGACACAGAATTCCCAGCCTTGGTGGTGGAGGGAACGCCTTGTCTGATCCAGCAGCTCCCTGGCACTTCTCAGTGTTGTTAAGGGTTTATTTTTTACATACCAGAAGAAAAGCACTGTGAAATTGGCGCAGGACCAGGGATGAACAGAAATTAATCTGCACTCCTCTCACCGTGCTGGATGGATGTGGGATCGGGTGGGGATTCCTGCCTGTAGGCGAAGGATAATGCGAGCAGCTTCCTGAGCTCCAGCTGCTGTGGACAAAGGACACAGAGCAGCAGAGATTCCTGGAGGGAGGAACTTTAAGATGGAGGAATTGTGAAGAATGCGAAGGACAACCTCTTAAAAAATTGTAGGTGGAGCAATTCCATGTCATCCAAGTGCTTTGTAAGCTTGAGATTGACTTTCCTACTTTGAAATAGCTGCTGTTGTGACACTTTCTTTTGTGCTTTTTAACATTGACTGTGACCTCTGTGTGATTGCATAAATTGGCCCGAGTGCTCTGGAACAGTTATTAGGAGCCCCTTTCTTGTGTCGTTTCCTGAATTCCCACATTGTGGCGTGATGTGTGTGGAAACTGCTGGCTTCCTCCAGTGGCAGCCGTTCCTCCAGCCTGTGTGTGCTGGGATCCTGGCAGAGGGAGCTGCGGGAGGACAGGATTGTTAGAGAGGGAATCTGCATTTCGTGCATCTTTGTTCTTTTCCAGCTCCGATAAAGCTGTTATCTCCAACTGTGTGGGCTAAGCACGAGCAGCTAGTGCCCTGTAGAATAAACAGCAGCGAATGACTTAAGGTTAACGTGCCTCGGGCAAGGCTAGCTGCTCTTCAGTGCCTGAATGAAGCAATATTTTCATCTTCCAATGACTCTACCTTCTCTCTTTACTCCCCACTCCATTTTCTTGTGGTGTGTGGGAGGAAGGTAGGATGTGTGATTGAAGCATAGTTTATAACTCCTTAATTGACTGTAGCTGTGTAATTCCCTTACAAATCCACCCCAAGCATCTAGCAAATATGTGTTTCATTAATTTGTTCTGTCCTCTTTTTTTTTTTCCTTTTTCTTTTTTGCAAACTCTAAGGTCATGTGATGTTAATGAGTTGTTTACATATGTTTCTGCATTTATTCCACCAGCGTTCCAGTGCATGGAAATCAATTACAGGGGAAAAGAATCAATGTTTATATATGGCTGCATTTCTGAAGTTTAACTTCCTGAACTTTTTTTCCAGATTCTTCTTTTAAACAGTAAGAGTTGTGAATGTTGGAAAGGAGTCATTTCCTTTGCGCAGCTGAAGGGTCAATGGCTGGACCAGGTTATCTTTTCTCGCACGAAGAGCTTGGATGAATTCAAGTCTGTAGGCCAAGTTTCACAGCACAGAGATTTGACATATGGATGCTTTTGGCACGCTGAGTCCTTTGTAAATGGATCGCTAGGCCAAGCCTTACTGAGCAGGCGCTGCTTAATGGGTTCCGTATTTGCAGTCAGGTCTTAACATACCTGACCTGCTGTGGGTGCGCTGCGGCTGCTTCTCCATCCTCCTTTGGCTCCTTTCTGAAGCCATGTGGCTTCAGAAGGAGCCAGGCTGGGAGCTGCCACATTGTGCCTGTCCTCCTGTGCCCGCAGCTGGCAGTGACCTCAGCAGAAGGGTCCGGCTGTGCTGTGTGCACAGGCCAGGGGAGGCAGCGGTGCATGGCGAGGAAGGCAGAGTACTGTGGTTTGTACACAAACACGTCTGTGTTGAAGACCTAGCTTGTTATCTGGCTCTCGTTTAAGGCTGGGGATTTGCCTGCGTTACAGCATCAGAGATGGTAAAGGTGCTCACCCCGTTTCAAAACCGGGGCTTTGGCACTCAGCAGCAGGAGTTGGTGTCGTGAGAGCAGCGCTGCCCTCTAGCACGAGGTCCTCCTAAGCAGGAAAGCTGCATCTCCCTGATGCAGCTGAAATGCTGATCCTCACAGCCACCTGGGGCCCTTTTACCCCTTTGGGAGGAGGTGGGCACAAGGGAGGCCGGCTCATGTGTGTAAAGCCACGCTATGTTGTAAGCTGAAATCCTCCAGGAGCTGAAGCCTTCAGTGAAAATCACCTCTGTGTGGTTACTCCTACGGAGGAAAACGAGGAGGGCTCACAGCCACCCTCGGGTTCTGCCGTGTCGGGCTGGTAGGGGGCCGCAGATGCTCAGAGCGAAACAACGAGTAATGGATGTTTTCGTTTTAAGCGGAATGCGATACGGGGGGAACTCCTTTAATATCCCGTCTCTACGCGGTTGGCCACGTATGCTGGCCTCACTTTCCACTATCTCCAGCGTCCGAGCAGCAGAGCGCGGGGCGGGGCGGCCCGGGGGCGGGGCGGGGCGGGCCGTGCTTCTTGCCCGCCTTGCCGGAGTGCCGCCCGCGGGGCGCTCCGCGCACAGAGAGGCGGGAGAGGCGCGGAGCGGAGCAGTGTGCGAGCACCGCGGGACGCCTCTGCCCTGCCCCGCCCTGCCTCGCCGCTCTCGGCCGGCTCAGGTAACCGCGGGACGAGGCGCGGAGTGGAGGGAGCCCGGCTGTCTGCCCCAGCCGCGATGCTGCGGGCCCCCGCTCCCCGCTGACGGCGCGGCCCGGGACGCGGGGCTGTTCTGCTCGCTCGTTCCGCCGTTCTCGAGGCGCCGAGGGCTGTGCTCGCGGCCCGGCTGGCTGCGTCGGAGCGCTGCCCTCCGTCCCGGTCGCCCGTCTCTG